TCGTCTGCACGATTTGTCTAGCTGTTTAGAGGGTGGCCACTATGCTCTTTGGGCGCACTACAAGCTTAGGTGTACAGTTACGGTGCATACAACATGTAGATATTTATATATAACATGTGTATATAGTGTAATAACACTGCAAAAGGTATTATTGGGGGAGAAAGTTTAGTGCGTGTGACCTTGAAAGAGTGAGGGAACCGCCAGCCGCCATCTGTGTATAGCGACGACTCTTAGTACCTGAACTAACTATATGAGCTTAGCAGTACAGTTGTGGTGAACAAAATATATACATACTTATATATAACGTCTGTATATAGTGTAATAACACCACAAATGGTATTGTTGAGGGAGAAAGTTTAGTGCGTGTGTTGAGGGAGTAGCAGTGAGTGGCTGGATGGTGTGTGGCGGTAACTCTTCGTTGCTTTTCAACTCTCAATACCAACTTAGTGGTTCGTTATGGTGACCAAAACATGCAGATACTTATATATAACCTGTGTATAGAGTGTAATAGCAGCAAAACTATTTGTTTATTGTTTTATAAACATAATAATTGAATCACTAATATGCACATCATACTTTTGAGTATAGCGATTATTCACCACTTTTATTACATAAATACAGTGGTACCTCGCATAACGAATTTAATCCGTTCCATGTTCGTCATGTGAAACGGACGTCATACAAAACGAGTGTCCCCCATGTAACCAGTGTGATGCACTGTGTTTATTGTGAAATTCCCCCAGTGTGCATGACATCAAATGTTCCCCAAAATATCATTTTTCTTTGCAAAATGATAAATTACCGTCCCTGAACATGTCTATGTAAAAATAATTACCAAATTCCACTTACTTTGGCTGTGAAGGCGTGGACAAGGTGCGCTGTGATGTCATCAGGGCCTGGTTGCCCGTGTGTGAAGCTCCCAGACACGGTCGCGCAGGCCATTCAAGCACCGCGTGTTGCCACAAATATATTTTCAAATATTTTTTCTATGCATTTCCAATGAGGTTTTATTTGTTTCTTTTATCGTATATGATGCATATTTGTGACCTTTACAATATGTATACAGTAGAATGTTCATAATTTTCCATGAAACTGTGATACATGTGTCAGTAATGTGTCCACAATAAATGTTTATTGTCACAATATTACGTGGTAAAAATTCACTAAAATTACAATATGTACAGTTTCACATACTATTTACACAGTAATACACTGTATTACACACTCAGTACTTTGGAGGTGCGTAATAGTCAACGAAGTAGTCCATGGTACACAGCGCGACTTTGCTCTCCTTGCACCAGCTACAGATAGATTTTCGTTTCCTGTTTCATCGTTCTATGTGCTTGCAAATAACGCACTTGAGTGCACCCTTGGCTTTAGTACTTGTAGGTGGAATGTAGCCAAGCTTGTAAAGCTTATGCCAAGCTTGCATAAGGTAGTATTGAAACGATTATAGGAAAAGCTCAATTTGTAAGGTAATCTTGAAAAGATCGCTTTGTAATGTCCCACACAGGAAGAGATTCAGCTAGCCTCAAAGAGTGTCCATCAGTCAGGAAGAGATTCAGCTAGCCTCAAAGAGTGTCCATCAGTCAGGAAGAGATTCAGGTGTTCTTGAAAATATCAATGAATACCACCACCATGGAAGCCGCTAACACTGTTCATCTATGCTACTTGTATCAGATGCATCATCACTGAACGCAGAAAACGATTCATCTATGTATCATCTATATAAATTTGAGATGGCACGGGTGGGGCTCAGAGCTACAACTGGATACGCTCGCTGTATCATCCTCATAGGTGCTGTATCACTGGCATCCGACCGTTGTGTTAAGCCCTTATTGCGCCTAGCTTCACCAATGTTATGACCCTTATGTTCTTCAAACAATAGGGGTCTGAATTGCACCGACTTAGCGCAGTCTTTCAACACCGTGTGGGACAGGTGTTTGAGAGCCAGAGGCACATGTGCTACAAATGGTTGCTCACGCAGTACTAACCCAGCCAGCAGCCCTTGTCTTTCATATTTGTTATAGCAAAATGTTTGTTCAGTGTTGGGTAGGCTACTCCATTATGACAATCTTTCTTTGTTTCAAATGTGTTCCATTTGTTTTGTATTTGTCACTTACGTCTCAATAATGGAGCAGCCTACCCGACAAACGCTGAACGAACCTTTATGGCATTTGTCCATTTTTCAAATTGTTTCAACAGTTCTTTTATTTTTTTTTTTTTTATTTAAGAAACATGGAGCAGCCGACCTGTAGATGACAGAACGAACCTTTTTGACATTTGTACTGGTTTTCAAAATTCTTCATTTTTTTTTATTATTTACATTTTTTGTATGTAAATAACATGGAGCAGCCTACCTGCCGACCATCGAACGAACCTTTTGCTATAAGACAAATGAAAAATAAATATTGAACACATTTGAAGAAAGGAAAATGTCATAATGGTTTATTCAGTGTATGTAAGGTAGGCTTCTCCATTATTGAGACGTAAATGACAAATACAAAACAAATGGAACACATTTGAAACAAAGAAAGATTGTTATAATGGAGCAGCCTACCTGCTGAACACCGAACGAACCTTTTTGACATTTGTTGTATATCAGACATTTCATTTCTTTTTTCCTACAAAAACGTCAATGCTTTGCAACATCTCGGCAGTCACCCTTTTATATCCCAGCATCATTAGCATCTTTATGCAAGAACAACATAATTTATGTGCATCGTCGGAGGCGTCTAAGAATGTGCAAGAAGCAGCGCGACCCCACCTGGCCCACCATGTGGTGTTGACGTTACTCAAACCAGCGTTCGTCATACGGGACGATTTGATGCCGATCGGGCCGTTCGTTACCCAAAATGTTCGTCTTTTGGGGCGATCGTTATGCGAGGTACCACTGTATATTACAATACACACTATTGAATAATATTACTGCAAAAAAACTAAGAAAAAATCAATCGGAGACATTGAAACAATTAGGTAATAATATCTTTGTGGCAACTCCCATGTGTCAGCGCGGGTGACGCTGACCGGGTCTGACGACCGTTCTGTCAACGCCCACTTTTTGCCAGACTTCCTCGGTCAATTGCGCCCAAAATATGTCACCTACGATTTTTTTGTTATTTTTTCCATGCTCAGGGGACACAAATTAACATGTTTAGAAGACGAAAAAAAAATTTTGAATTTTTTTTTTCTTGCGCACAGGGGTGTAAATGTCCCAAGGACCCCTGAGCAGTGTAAGGGTTAAGGCTAACCAACCTGTGGTCTATCCTCGTGCCCACGACGTGTGTTAGTTTGCTGCTTTGGCTGTCGTCTTTGGCAACATGTATTGGGTTGACATTCGGGCACAGAGTTTTTGGAGGTCAGACAGGGTCCTGGCCGCTCGCTATCTTTTCAATGTCCCTGGTTCTCATAGGGCCTGCGTTGCATTGGGTTGGAGGTCGCAGCCAGCTGTCTCAGTTTCGCGTTGAGGAGTGAGGACTGACTGCCGCCCCGGTCAGTCCCTGTTTTTCCTTGTCTTTGGGTAGTTAGCTCTGAGGATCCGACGGGGCTTCCCCCAGGAAACCAGCATTGTATGTAATGAAACGCCACTTTATGGGCGAGTCCCGGAGCCTCCCCGGCATCCCTGCCTCCCTCCAGTCGGCGGTGTTTTTGCGTATTTTGACATCCAGCCTAAGAACTGAAGGGTGGATCATTGGCATGGGGGTCTGGAGCTCCCCCCTCCCCCTCCCAGGGAGGAAGGGGGGTTGCGCAGACAGCAGCATGGTGACATGATGACGACATGCTAGTTTGCTAATTTTCGTTAGGGGAGTTCTGTCCACTCGTTCGGCTTTCGGTAGCAATAATTTCACCAGAATAGGGGTTTGTTTTGGGGCGCCTATCTTTCTGGGTGTCAGAACCGGTCGATGTCAGACAGAATTCTCCCAATCACACGGGGTTTCTATAGGCCATTGCTCCTCGTGCCTTTCTTGAGGGGAGGCCAGGTTCTGGCTCATGGTCCCCGGTAGGCAAGAACTCTGTGCACATTGATGCCAGAAAGTTATACATATCCATTCAACCTAAATAGCTCCAGGGAGCCTCCGAGACTCGGCCAGAAAATGGCATTTCATTACAATCAACGGTGGGGTTTTTATATAATTGAAATTATACTTACAGTAATCTCATTTCATAAGGTAAGTTCCAATGTCCAGAATTAACTTTTGTAAACCTTTCCTGTAAACTATAAAAGGAATTTAATGTCCATTTTATAGTACAGTACTGTACTAAACACCTAAATTAATAATCTAAACAGAGCCTAACGAGGGCTAGATAAAGCAGAAGAATAACATATTTTATGTATTATTACTAAGGCTTCTGGATGTGAATCTCATTATTGTATCTAATTTGGTTACTTTCAAACATTTCTTCATTGATTTCTTGGTTTAAGCTCCCTACTAATCATAACTAGTCCTCTTTGAATTCAAATTTGCTATTTTCAGTGTTAGTACACTGATACACTACCTGAAAATTAAATTTCTTAGGCCCAGAACCCAACATTTGCCATAACTAAATTGCATCTGCTACTCTTTCACCTTTTTTAAATGCCTATAGCAACGTCAATTCTTCATTGAGCCTTATTCTAGTCATCAGCAAATTTGCTAATGTTCTTTATTCCAGTGTCCAGAGTCATTTTTATATAGTGCAGTATATGGTAAACACCCCACTACCTACCTGGGGTATAATAAACATATACAAGTATTATGGCAAGTATAAACACTTGCCATAATTTCCTCCCTCAGACTTCACTCCATTTATGCTGACACTATTTGTTTTGAAACAAATATGCTCAATCCAGTTTAAGATATCTCCTACAAATCATTAAAATGTACAGTACTGTACAACTTTTCTTCTGGGCAGATGCCTGCCACCCAATAAAGTAGGAAAACACAGAAATTATGACATTTTATTTATATATTGTATAAGTACAGTATTAATTTGTTTATTTCCAAGTACCCTGTACTTACAGATTTCTCCTTAATTAGGTACTCAAAAGCATCCTTTTCTCTCTTGACATTGGTAAGGTAAACTTGCTCTTCGGTAGTTCCTTTGTACACGAGAAAATACACAAGTATACGTTCCCCATAATTTGCCTGCCACACCTGTATGAGAATTTGTTTTGATTGAAAATGTGATTACCAATGACTTGTTATTTAAAAACTATATAAATGATATAACAATAACAACAAATGCCAGAGAATTTAGCTTACCATTTTCTTCATGCATTGAAAGGAACATATGTACCATATTACTAATACAGACTTCAGGTATATAGTTATACATAATTATACATCATACAGAGTGAATGAAGCAAGAGAATTAAAAAAAAGGGGGGGGGGCCCTGGGTTACAGTTTTCCCTCCAATGTACAATATCCTGTACTTATGATGAATAATGTATCAAGGTGATTTTGTTACTACAGTATAGTACAGTACATACTCTCCCTCACCACTGCCCTTGTGGATTTGCTCATTTATAATACAGTATAGTACTTTATCAAACCTTTTTTGCTTGAAACTGGCTTTAGTATCAAAAATATTGATTCACTATTATGTATCACGTACTGTATTACATAAGATGGTAAATGTTGAATTTTGTTAAAACAACAAATAATATACAAACAAAAATTAGCTTTACCTCAAGCTGCCGAATAAATGTTAAGTCAGAGTCGTAGATGACAACATACTTGGGTTGAATCTCTTCTAATAATCGTGGCATCATGAAAGGATCACCAGTATCCTGAAAGAAGGTGATGTACTCATTTCTAATGCCTTTCTAATGCATTTCTTCCTTGAAATGTTTTATTCAAAAGTATGCCTACAGCAACTACATTCATTCATTCATTCATAATAATAATTAGCATCCTTCCACTCTTATTTTTTCTGCCATAGTGCATTAGAGGATGGTGTATATACACTGTTGTGCCCTGTTTAACATCACAGTTGCACAATCCAGTTCACAAGCCATTCAAGATTTTGACTATTCCATATGAAAACACAATATTAATTATTACATGAAAATTTAAATTCAAGTTTACAGACTCAGAAACTATTACTGCTTGCTGCTGCTCTATAAAGTTACTTATTGGCATTGGGCTTAACCTGGCTATCTTCCCAAGACTGAATTTTTAAAATGAATGGAAAAATCTAGAAGTTATATAATTTATGGCTTATAGTTTAAAAAAAGAAATATACTGTATATATAAAATCAAGCATTAAATGTAATGAAACATCCTTTCTGGTAGAGACATTAGTAGCTGACAGCTGGGTGGACAGTGCTTCAGATTCGTAGTCCTGAGGTTCCAGGTTCGATTCCCGGTGGAGGCGGAGACAAATGGACAAAATGTTTCTTTCACCCTGATGCCCCTGATACCTAGCAGTAAATAGGTACCTGGGAGTTAGACAGCTGCTACGGGCTGCTTCCTGGGGGTGGAAGCCTGGTCGAGGACCGAGCCGCAGGGACACTAAGCCCCGAAATTATCTCAAGATAACCTCAAGATAGCTCCCTGATCTAAGTGGTGGTCCAGTCAAGCTATAGGAAGATGCACCAGGCCTCTGAGATCCACCCTTGTCTATTGGGAGCCAGGCAAGGCAAGGGGGGCCTTGAGATCACAGATCAACCCAAGCCCAAGAAAAAAACTGAAAAAAGCAGCTACCTGAAGAAAATTTGACACCTTAACCGTAATATGCTTGGCCACCACCAGGTGACAGCTCAGGTCACTTGTGGTCCTAGACAACCTGCTCCCTCACTCACTGACTTGGTCAGTTATGATGGCATTTCTTGCCGTTTGTGTGCATGCTCCATTAGTACTAGCGCATTCCAGGTTAGCTGGTGACCTCAGTGTCAATAGCTAATAATGTTAAGTGCTAAGTGCACTCAATATTAATAGGAATTCACCAATTTAAATGTAGAAAACCAATGAAACTATTGTGTCTTTGGTACAAATAAATGTCTGCCAAATTGTGCCATGACTGCATGGATAAAAGTAGTGGAGAATAGAATGATAAATTTCTATGTCCGGATAATCTTATAATCCAGAAAACAGGATCGAGATAATGGGGGCTTCGCTGTACATTTGTTATGATTTAGGTGAAAATGATAAAATATGTAATTTAAACGTAATGACCATGATCTACTACATGTCATCTGGCTTGTTACACTGCCTAGATTTTGATGTCCCATACTTCTATATGAAGCGTCTGAAAAGGAATAAAGCTTACAAGTGGTCCATGGTAACTAAATATTGTAGACTCCACAAAGACCTTCTTATGATTTACTTGAATTTTGTTTAAATTACAATGCAGTGCATAATACTGAATTAACAATACATGGTATCAATTAAGTATTACCATATAACACTAACTAAAGCCAGAGAAAACTTAAAAAGACTATTTTATTGTGTTTCTTACCCGCACAGACTGCACCATTATTAGAGGCGATGATAAAAATCTTCTAGATATTAATCTGTATTCCTCTTTCTCTTTGTCATCATCACATTCTTCTTCATCTTGGCCAACAAACTTATATTTACTTGTTATTTGTGTTAATGTAATGTCCTCCTTTTGTTCATCCTCTGTTTTCTTTGTCTTTTTACCTTTCTTTCCCTTATCTTTTTCTTCTCTCTGAGGTACTTCGCTTAAATCTTTTTTTCTTTTTCCAGTGAGTGTGTTTCCTCTTTCTCTATTGCTGTTTTTAATTCTGTTCAGCTCTTTCAGGAAATGTTCCGGTGGTTGAAGTCCCATTTTGGCTCCAATGGTGCTGTAGAACACTCTGCGAAGGACCACTTGAGCACCATCAACTAAATACTTCAAACAGAAAAAGCAGTATGTAAACATTAATAAGGTAAGCTTCAAAGAAATATATTGCATCATTAAATATTAAAATGCAGTAGAACCTTGTGAACTGGGTAGAATAGTACATTATTTGGAAATACATTTTCAATTAATAAGCCAATCCATTCCTACCTTAATGGGGTGAAGGAAGCATAATAAAAAGGAAATTTTAATATCAAATTAGCATTTCAAAAATCAAACAAACAAAAGATATAGTTTGGGTCATAAGCCAAACTGTAAATACAGTACTGTACTTCTGTAAATTGAGAAATGTAGCAGTCATTGGGAGGACAAACCCTTCATGCAAACTGCACCTACAGTACTATCAAGAAGAAGAAGAAGAGTAATGTAGATGTAAAGTGAAATATCACAGTTCTTTAGTTGTTGGACAAGACCTCACTGCTCAACAATTGTTATTGAATATACTGTATAATACCTTACAGCTGAACTCTATAATCATCATTGCTCCTCATTTCATGTACAGCTACTCCTACTGATATTTCCTTATACTGTACAGTACTGTACACTAACTTATTCAAAGATTCTTTGTGTAACTAATCCTTAGCAAGAGAGAAAGTTTCATGACAAAAGACAGCTTTTCTGGGGGGAGCCCCGTCGGCTCCCCGGAGCTATCCCAGGCTGATATGCTAATGTCAGACTTTGGCATCAGTCATGTGTATGGAGTTCTTAGGCCTACCGGGGACCACGGCCAGAACCGGGCCCCCTCAGAGAGGCAAGGGGAGCAATGGCCTATAGAAGCCCCCGTGTAGTTGGAAGCATTCTATGTCTGCCATTGACCGGAACAGGCACCCAGAAAGGTAAGCGCCCCAAAACAAACCCCTATTCTGGTTAAAATTGCTACCTAAAACCGAACTAGTGGATAGAACTCCCCAACCGAAAACAAGCAAACTAGTGTGAAGTCACACACTGCCGCGCCGCTGTCTGCGCAGCTCCCCCCTCCCCGGGAGGGGGAAGGGGGAGCCCCAGACCCCCCGCGCCGGCTACCCACACCTCAGTTCTTGAGGCTGATGCTATAGGCGATGGTCGTGTGCTCTGGCTCCGGTGTCGCTACTGCACTGTGCTTTGTGTGTGGTGTTAGTTTTGTGGGTGCGAGAGCCAGGAGTTATCTTCAGTACTCGGGCTGCATGCGCCTAGGGCTGTCTTCCCTAGGTGCCCTGTAAGTACTGCCCTTGGGGCTTGGGGCCACCTTCCACAGGCTCCTCGGGGTCTGCCTCTGCTGGTCCGTTTTACCTTTCGGTTTTTCGGCCACCTGTTGGGCTCTTGGGTGTTCTGTTCTCCCTTGTTACCGGCAGGTAAGGGGCAGTTTGCACTGGTAGGGGCGCAGGGTGCTGCTCAGCTTGTATTTCCCGACATCGTGGCCGGCTCTGTTCCTTGGGGTTCGCTGTCCTCTTGCGGGGTTTTGTTTTTCTTTTTGTTTTTGCCTGGTGGGGGGTTCTGTCATTTTATTCAGTTTGTTTTTGCCCTTCCACTGTTCTCCTCGGTGGCGCCCCCTGCTAGGTCCCCGTGAGTGTACACGTCCCTGGGGTTCAGCTTTAGAAGTTTGCTTGGTAGTTTTGGGCGCCGGTTTGCAGCACCCTGCCTGGGACTACCTGAGCGCGAGTCCTCTTAAAGTAAACGCTCAGGACCCTGGGAATCCCCTAGGGGGCGCGTGGGTCCGATGGATGTGACCCCGGAGTCCCCACTCGCTGTGTGCGAGTTTGAGGGTTGCTCGGTCCCCTTGTCTCAGGGTGACCCTCATTGTTTTTGCCTCTGCCACGCTGCCTGTTGGGTCGGTGATACTTTCGACCCTGAGTCCTGTGAGTGTTGCTGCTTGCTTGTGACTCAATTTACCCAATCCTCTGATGATTCTATTCGGGTACAGGCGGCACGTGCGTTGCAGTCTAGGTTTCGTCTGTTGCAACGCGCTCGGTTGGTTGCTTCCCTGGATGCCCCGGGGCTGCCCCGCTTTGCTTTTCGAGACCCGGACTTGGGGGTGGGGGTCGCTTCGATCCTGGTTCAGTCCGCACCTCCTCGTCCTTCCCCTTCTGTTCGTTCTGGTCCCCCGCCCCTGCTTCCGGCCCCGAAGCGTCTGAGGGTTTCGGGGTCGGAGCAGGGGTTACTTGATCTCGAGACTCGGGCAGCTTCGGGGGTTGCCCCTTCTGGGGGGGGGGCGGCAGAGGCATTCGAGTCTTGTCTCCCGGCCGAAGCTTCAGGGTCTGACCAGTGGGCCCCCCTTCCTCCAGCTTTTTCGGCTGCTCCGTCCTTGTCTTGTGGGGTCGGGGCTTGGGGAGAGGACTCGGCCTCGGGTCCTGTGGTGACGGACCTCGAGGCTGGGAAGGGGCTGACTTGGGGGCCTTGGGCCCCGCTGGACCCCGCCTGGGTTTTTCTTCCCACTGAGCGGGGCTTATTGTTACAAGGAGTGGGGTTTTCTTTCCCCCCCTCTGCGTACGAGTTGGATTTGGTGTCGGCCCCTCCCCGGGTTCGGTTCCGTGTTCCCCCGGGTACGTCGGTTCCGTCCTTCCGGAGGTTTTCGGCTTATCGCATCCAACCTGGTGTGGTGCGAGCGGCCTTTGCGGCTTACCTCCTGCGTGACCCGGATTATGCCTCGGAAATGGATCCGTCCACGTTCAGGTTTGGGACTTCGTTCCCTTTCTGGCTCCGTTACGAGGTTCCGGAGTCGTCCTGGCTAGCAGACTGCCCCTTGTTTGGTCTGGATTCCTGGCATTCCTTCTGTCGTTCCCGCACGCTGGAGTGGCGGGAAGCTTCCACGGTGCTTCAGGTTTTCCTAGGGGGTGAACTTGAGTACCTGAATGAGTGCTTGTTTGCCCCTGCCCTTCCCCGCGATGTGGGCGTTATTCAGCTCCATGTGCAGGTTCCCTCCATTTCGGCGGCGCTCGTGGCGGAGGACTTGCGCGCTCGGGGCCTTTTGTGTTCAGCCTTGCGGTTCTTTTCCCTCCTGGAGCTGTCTTCGGATTGGCTCGTGGAGGATGTGGGGACGCTTGGGTCCGTCCCGGGGTCCGGCACCTTGTCCTCGGCTGCGCGTTCGTCGGCTGCCTTGTTGAAGTTGTTCACGCCGATTTTGCGGGATGCGGTTTCCCTGTTCTATGCTTCCCGTCTCGCGTGTCGGCAGGCGGTGCTGGGTTCCTCAGTGGAATCTGCTTGGGCTCTGGCTCTTAGGCGTTCTTCACCTTTTTGTCCTCTCCTGTTTGGGGAGTCGGCCGTGGCGCAGTTTATTCAGGCTGCGTCGGCGGCTTGTCGTCCGATGTCGGACTTGTTGGTTTTCCGGGGGTCCCGGGGTGGGTCTTCCCGGAAAGGTCGTGCCAGGGCTCGGGGTTCCTCTCGCCGTGGTAGGCCTCTGGTGTCAGGTTTGGGGTTGGCTCCTGCGGACCCTCCCTCGTCTGGTCGGCGCGGTGTTCGCGCTGTGCGGGGTTCTGGGTCTCGTAAGGGTCGCCGGCCCTTTCGCAGTTTGCCCCCTTGACGGGGCGATGGGGGGGCGGCTTGCGCTGTTCGCCCGCGCCTGGTCCCACGATTCGTGGGCCTTTCGGGTCGTGTCTCGCGGCCTGCGGTGGCGTTGGGTGGCCCCTCCCCCCTTTGGGGGGTCGGGGCTGGCAGGGCAGGCTTCTTCCCCTGCGCTCTGTCGAGTCGTCTTGGAGTGGGTACGCTTGGGCGTCGTCGAAACGACGTCGTCCCTCGGATGGGTTTCCCGTCTGTTTCCGGTTCCGAAACGGGACTGCGCGGACCTGCGGTTCATTCTGGACTTGTCCCGTCTGAACCCCTGGGTTCATTGCCCCTCCTTTCGGATGACTACGCTGTCTCAGGTTCGGCTCCTCTTGGAGCCGGGAGCTTGGATGGTGTCCCAGGACCTCCGGGACGCTTATTGGCATGTCCCGATTCATCCGCGGTTCAGGGACTGGCTCGGTTTTGTGGTGGGGCGTCTGAGTTACCGCTTTCGTTGTCTCCCGTTCGGGTTGAACCTGGCACCTCGCGTGTTCACACGCCTTACACGGGTTGTGGTGGCTCGTTTGCGTCTCCTAGGTGTTCGGGTGTTGGCCTACCTCGACGACTGGCTGGTTTGGGCTCCCAGCCAGTCAGCTTGCTTGCTAGCCAGGGATTTGGTTCTTTCCCAGCTCGCCGGGTTCGGGTTCTTGGTGAACTGGAGGAAGTCCCATCTGGTTCCCTCTCAGGTTCGGACTTGGCTGGGTCTCGTGTGGGACTCTCGAACCGCCTCCTTGTCTCTCCCTCCGGAGTCTCTCCTGCGGCTGCGGTCCCGCCTTCGTCTGTTTCTGGAGGGCCCTCGGGTCACCCGGCGGTTGCTCGAGGGGCTGTGCGGGAGCCTGAACTTCGCGATGGTGGTCTACCCGCCGGGTCGGGTTTGGCTTCGACGGCTGTTCTGGTTCCTTCGGGGTTCCCCCTTCCGCCTCTCTCGCGATCGCAGAGTTCGACCCCCGGGGGACTTGCGTCGGTTGCTGCGTCACCGGCTTCCTCTTCGGGTTTTTTCGGGGTTCAGTGCCTTGGCGCCTACCCGAGCCCTCGCTCGATGTGTACACGGATGCGTCGTCTCTCGGCTGGGGTTTTGTGACCAGTGCTCACCAGGCCGGCCAGGGGCGTTGGGATCCATCCTTCCGTCGAGCTCACAGTACGGTGCGGGAGTTCGCGGCAGTGTGGTTTGCTCTGGGGAGGATTCGGGTGGCCCGCGGATCGACGATTCGGCTCCATTCGGACTGCTCTCCGGTGGTTCATTGCCTGAACCGCGGGGGTTCGATGCGGTCCTTGTCTCTTTGGGGTTGGTCGCTTCAGGTGACTCGTCTGCTAAGTTCTCGGGGTTTGGCTCTCCTGGCGGTTCACGTACGGGGCGTGTCCAACATCTTGGCCGACGCCCTGTCTCGCTTCGTTCCCCTCTCCACGGAGTGGACGGTCGACGACGAGTCCTTCCGTTGGCTTTGCCAGACGTTCGGGCGCCCCGAAGTGGACCTCTTCGCGTCGGCGTGGTCGCGGCGTCTTCCCGTTTATGCGGCGCCCTTCCCCGATTGCGAGGCCGTCGGGGTCGATGCCTTTCGGCTCGACTGGTCGAGGTGGGGGTTCCTGTACCTCTTTCCCCCGGTTCGGCTGTTGCTCCAGGTCCTGACTCGCTTAGAGACTTACCGGGGGAGAGTTGTCCTTCTGGCCCCTTGGTGGCCGGCCCAGCCTTGGTTTCAGGAGCTGGTTGCTCGGTGTCCGAACCCGAGGGTTTTCCCGCGGCTCCGCCTCTTTCAGCAGATCGGGCCGGTGCGTCACGTAGCTGGTTCGATCTTCTCCTCGAGTCTTCGCGTATGGTTTTTTTTACTCGAGTCTATCATCATCTCTATGGTGATCAGGTGGCCTCCTTGTTGGTGTCCCACCTGAGGGCTTCTTCTCGGCGGCAGTATGAAGTTTCCTGGCGGTCCTTCCGTTTCTTTTTGCGTCTTCGTCGTGTTAGCTCTTTGTCTGTTCGGGTGGTCTTGTCCTTCCTCTCGTGGTTGTTTCAGGACCGTCATCTTATGCCTAACACTGTCGCTTCGTATCGTGCGGCGCTGGCGGAGCCGCTTCAGCTTGCTTTCGGTATCGATGTTACGTCTGCGCCGTTTCGCAAGCTGTCTCGTGCATTGTTTCACCTCCGGCCTGCTCATGCGTCGCCTGAGCCGTCCTGGTCTTTGGTCAGAGTGCTCGCTTTCCTTTCATCTCCTCGTTTCGTTGTGGCCCCTTCGGTCCAGGATTGTTTTTCCAAGGCACTTTTCTTGTTGGCTTGGCCTCTGGGGGTCGGGTAGGGGAGCTTCATGCTCTCCTCCGGCGCAGAGGTTTCTGCTCTTTTGGTCGTGGTGATAGTTTTGTTCGTTTGCAGCCGTCTCCTTCTTTTCTGGCAATGAATGAGACTGCTGCGTTCCGGAGGGGTCCATGGGTGGTTGATGCTTGGTTGGTAAGGCCGGGGGTGCATCATGTTTTGTGTCCGGTTGCGGCGCTTCGCCGTTATTTGCGCGCCACAGCTTCTGTGTCCGGGGACGCGCTGTGGGTTGATCCGGTTTCCCTTCTTCCCTGTTCGCGGGTTCGGGTCTCTCAGGTCGTCCGCCGGGTTATTAGGTCCAGCCAGCCTGCGGTCTATCCCCGTGCCCATGACGTTCGTAAGTTCGCGGCTCTTGCTGCCGTCTTTGGGAATATGTCTTGGTCTGATATTCGGGCGCGGGGATTTTGGCGGTCGAACAGGGTCCTGGCTGCTCGTTACCTTGTGAATGTCCCTGGGCCTCGTCGGGCCTGTGTTGCTTTGGGTCGGCGGTTGCAGCCAGTTGTCTCGGCTTCGAGTTGAGGGGTGAGCGACGACCGCCTCCCGGGTAAGTCCCTCTTTTTCTGTCTGTGGGTAGTTAGCTCCGGGGAGCCGACGGGGCTCCCCCCAGAAAACCAGCGTTGAATGTAATGAAACGCCATTTTCTGGGTGAGTCCCGGAGGCTCCCCGGCATCCCTCCCTCCCTCCGGTCGGCGGTTTTTCGCGTTTTTGACATCCAGCCTCAAGAACTGAGGTGTGGGTAGCTGGCGCGGGGGGTCTGGGGCTCGCCCTTCCCCCTCCCGGGGAGGGGGGAGCTGCGCAGACAGCGGCGCGGCAGTGTGTGACGTCACACTAGTTTGCTTGTTTTCGGTTGGGGAGTTCTATCCACTAGTTCGGTTTTAGGTAGCAATTTTAACCAGAATAGGTGTTTGTTTTGGGGCGCTTACCTTTCTGGGTGCCTGTTCCGGTCGATGGCAGACATAGAATGCTTCCAACTACACGGGGGCTTCTATAGGCCATTGCTCCCCTTGCCTCTCTGAGGGGGCCCGGTTCTGGCCGTGGTCCCCGGTAGGCCTAAGAACTCCATACACATGACTGATGCCAAAGTCTGACATTAGCATATCAGCCTGGGATAGCTCCGGGGAGCCTCCGGGACTCGCCCAGAAAATGGCGTTTCATTACATTCAACGCTGGTTTTTTAATGCAATGATAAAGCTAATCAATTGTATTACAAATATAAAAGAAAGTGATAGAAAACTATTATCCATTCATACCTCCTTCAGTTGTTGGGCTGTCCGATCATCATGAGTTACCACCAAACATTTCTCCAAGATCTTACTCTCGCAGACATTTTTTCGAATTTCATCTAAGACCTCAGACAAAGCTAACCACTTTGGGTTTACTTCCAAATCTGGTTCTTCATTATAGAAAAAAAAAAGATTTAGTGAAGAATTAAAAATACAGTACATTACTTTGAATTTACAGTGGAATACAGAATACAGTGAAACCTCGATTCAATGAGCCTTAATTCTGCAAATCTCCACTTGGAATTTGGAATTTTTTTTTGCCATTTTGGAATTTATTCTTGGAATTTTGCATTTTTTTCTTGGGAGTTTTTGTATTTTTTGGTTTGTTTTCAATTTGAGTTGGCAAGGTTTTTGTTCAGTCGGGTATGAACTCTGCTACCGTTGGAAAATGAGTTTTGAGGGGTGGGGGATGTGAGAAATAAGCTAGATGTGGTTAAATTTGTTTGCAGACATACTTATTTGGTTGTAGTTTGTTATATTTTAGGTTAAAATTAATATTTTACTAAGTGAAATTAGCCCACAGGGCATGAGAAATGCAAGCTAAAGGCATCTCTGGCTGTAGTGAATCCCTCGCTGCAACGAATTGGGGTTGGTCTCATATAGTTTGTTGAATCAAGGTTTTATAGGTTCATTGAATCAAGGTTTTATAGGTTCGTTGAATCAAGGTTTTATAGGTTCGTTGAATCAAGGTTTTATAGGTTCGTTGAATCTTTTATAGGCAAATATTTTTTATAAATAATGTGTAGAATTAAACAAAATTAGTCAAGTTTTCATTCATACCAATTAAATCACTCTTCGATTTGCTTGTAGTTCCATCTTGCACTTTATCATTTTTAGTTGGGCTATTCATTTTTCCAAACACACGCAACTTAGCATTGACAAATAACGACTCTGCAGAACCAAGCAACATCCATCCAGAGCTCTGTATAGCTTTCTCTGTTGTCCGCAAAGAATTTACCAAGTTGTAGAAAGTGACACAGTCATACTGTGTAAGATACCTAAGGAAATAAAAATGAAAAATCATTATGATATTCTTGTCGTATTTCAGATACCGGCATCCCCCAATTTATGTATAACAATACTGTACACAGAGAAATCACAATAACGTGATATATCAATGAACAAATTCACAAGGGCCTTGATGAGGATTCGAACTTATGCGCTGAATGTTCCCAGACACGCTCTAGTCAACTGAACCACGACATAATAAAAGAATTGCAACCTGGAGTGCTACTGCCCCCATGAAGATTCTACCTCAAAATTCCAGAATACTGTACTGTATATAGTCCTGAACCCTATTCATATTTTCCAATTCTAGATTTTATTTAGTACAGTATTACATTTTCATTCAATTTCGTTGATTTTGATGGCATTTCCTTACTGAAAATGGTAATGCACATATTTTTACTTGTTTATCAACGTAATATATTAGCAAGTTCTGTACAGTATTTTCTTGTGTAAAATTTTTAAATATATAATAAATTAATTTTGGTCATAGTCATCAAAATATGAGCCAGAGCATTTTTTCATTTTTTTTTTTTTTGCATTCACTACATACCCTGGAACCTGGGATTTGTTAGCCTTTTGTACAATATTTCTATTTTTTAATGAATTCCACCCTAATAACTCCTGTTCAATCAATCTTTCTTCTTAACAACTTCCATAATTTTTTCAAGTACAGCAGAACCTCTGTTATTCTGATCCCTATTAACCAAATTCTTGTATTATCTGGACTTAGAAATTTCCACCTCTTCACCCCATTACCAATGAAAATTTCATGCATTTCGGAAATGGACACTTATTTATACCAAATAGAAAATTTGTTGTTTCTACATATATACATGTTTGTACATTCATATTAAAATACCAATACAGGGTTTTTTAGCCAATATGTGCAAGAATAAATAAAAAAATAAATAAAAAAGATGAAACATTGTTTGTATATTAATTAGGTCTCAGGTTTTATTCATTTAGTCAAATTATAAGGTACATATCCAAATATTGTACCCAGATAATATCAACTGGTCCGAATAATCAAGGTCACACAATGCAGCAATATTTGGTGGTATTATTTAGGCTTAGTCTCACATGGAGAGGATTTTGAGTGTACAGTAGATGAATGAGCTTCCAAGAGCTCTTTATGGCTGGATAGTTTTCACCAGTGACTTCCTTTTCCACTATGAGTTAGCAGGGACATTCCAACATTTTTTCTCCATATCAAGGGTCATGTTAGATCGATAAAATCAAGGCTATATTGCATTTCTAATTTTTTTTACCAATTTTTAAAAATAATTGTTGTACATTATTTATATCAAAGGTTATGGCATTTTTCAATATTAAAATGCTACAGGATTATACCACTTATCAAATAATTAATTGACATTGCTAGCTATACACTATAAAGTAAAATAATTTTCTATAATTGAAGCATTATGGAACAAGTGTATTACATCTTACTACAAAAACCTCTTATATAACATACAATTGACAGAAGCATATCTTACACTAAAATTGTTCGTAAAACTTTAAGGTCAGCAATAAGTTGTTTGGTGCGTATTGACAGCTGATGCCAGATGGGCTCCAACTGCACCTGAAGCATTTTTTCAAAAGATTTTGATATAGCATTTTCTGGTGTAAATTCTTCTGTGTCAATTGTGCTATTTGATCTCCGCAGTTCCTGTAAACAAAATTTATATGTAATCATCTTTAGCTCTATTAAAATTAGAATAATCAATAGAAAATGCTCCTAAGTTTTATTTATTTATATATATATATATATATATATATATATATATATATATATATATATATATATATATATATATATATGTCGTACCTAATAGCCAGAACGCACTTCTCAGCCTACTATTCAAGGCCCGATTTGCCTAATAAGCCAAGTTTTCATGAATTAATGTTTTTTCGTCTACCTAACCTACCTAACCTAACCTAACCTAGCTTTTTTTGGCTACCTAACCTAACCTTACCTATAAATATAGGTTAGGTTAGGTTAGGTAGGGTTGGTTAGGTTCGGTCATATATCTACGTTAATTTTAACTCCAATAAAAAAAATTGGCCTCATACATAGAGAAAAGGGTTGCTTTATCATTTCATAAGAAAAAAATTATAGTAAATATATTAATTCAGGAAAACTTGGCTTATTAGGCAAATCGGGCCTTGAATAGTAGGCTGAGAAGTGAGTTCTGGCTACTAGGTACGACATATATATATATATATATATATATATATACAGTATATATATTCACAAGCAACGTATTTTAATAATTTCTGCAATATCTTGCAACTATACTCATACCTCATACTAATCATACCTGGACTGTTGCAGTAATGAGATCAAGCACTGCCATCTGGATCTGCTTCACTGGTGGTGTCATCTGCAGGTGCAGCTCCACAACCTCAGGCTGTTATTATAACATACATGTATACAATAATTCACCTTTCTTTTAATACTATTTTATATTATGCAATAACTGTCCTTTTCAAGCAACTTGCTTCTACAGCCAAGGAAGGTGGCATCTACTGTATATTTACCTTACCTGTCTCTTTTTTTCAGTGGTCACAGTTTTCTCCCCTACTCTTTGTTTTATGTATTTGAAAGAACCTTTCAGGATTTGTCTTTGCATGCCTTGTTACATTCACTACATAATTTATATCAGCTTTTTTTTTATTTATTTCTTAACTGTTATTGCTAGTCTGATCACAATTTGTTCTAGACAATGCTTCCTCATTATTAATGCATTTGTATATACTGCACAGAAGATTTTTCAGATTAGAATTTTTAGTCCTAACATTTTGGGTCAATATTAAAAGATTTATAAGGTAAACAAAAAAAATGAAGGACTGTGTCACACAAAGTGTTGGACACCACAGTTGATGAATCAGGTAGTGTATACAGTATACTGTAATTAAACAAAATATAAATGTTAAACTGGTTTGGTTTAGAGGTAAAGATTCTCCCTACTATATGAACAAATAAAATGGGTTTAGAAAATACAAGTTCACAGACGTGTACATATGCTTGTGTGTACTGTATATGCTTAAATATCATTCAAATACGAAAGTTATAGGATCAGCTTACCTTGCATTTCTCCAGACAAGCCGTAACATCCATGTGAAAACGCGGCCATAAATACAATTTCTTGACAAAAAGATTTCGCATGACTCTCTCCACATGACAAAACCCAGCTGTGAATGACAGTGGGCTACTTGTCAAAGCTTTCACAAACCCTGTCTGAAGAAAGTAGCTTGAATTTAAATTAATATATCATGCAGTATGTCATGTCATTTTGTCACCTATCTACCCACTAAATTGAGTTTCCTTGTGTCTATTGTGCATTTCATTATCATAATGTCATGCTTCTTTGTATTTCTGAAGCTACAAAACATTAAATAATCAATTACAGTATTTGCAAACATATAATTTGTAACAAAGTAAAACAAAAAACCAGTACTGAATTTAACAAAATGCCTTATTCTCAAATAGCCTCGGTGGCTCCCATTACTGAGTCACATCGCCATAGGAGTCCAGTTTGGCCTACTGGGAATCAGAGGCGAAACATAGCCCCCCCTCATAGAGGCACGGACAGCCGGGGATTTTTACAGTCACCCACACTAAGAAAGCATCCAGAAAGTAAGTTAGCAATACAGTGGTACCTCGGAACACGAGTGTCCCTGTATGCGAGTTTTTCGGAATACGAGCAGGACTTCCTCGGAAAATATATCTCGGAAGGCGAGGGTTACCTCGGAACGCGAGTTTGTTGATACGCGTTCAGGGCGACCTAGCGCGTGGTGGTTCGGCGATCGTCGTCCCTCCGCCCCTCCACCCCTCAGTTTACCATTGTCTCGCGCCCAGTGACTATCCCACATCAATTCTTCACCCGGATTTTCAGTGTTTTGTTGGATTTTTGGTCATTTGACTATACAATTTGTTATTATATATCTCACCATGGGTCCCAAGAAGGCCAGTGGTAAGGATCAAGGCAAGAAAGCCCATGTGAGGATGACAATAGAGGAGAAACAAGAGATAAATACAGATAAAACTGTGATAAAACTCAGATAAAATGTGCCAGGGAGTGCATACCAGAAAGGTCCTCACTGCCTGATGTGATAATGGAAGGGGGACTCCCCTTCCAAACAGTAACTTCTCTCATCCTCCCCCCTCCTCACCATCTTCCATACGCCTACAGCATTCAACAGCAAGGTAAGTAATAACTTGAACATAGTTTTGTAGGTTTATTTAGACGAATTAGGTATAAAAATTTAGTTTGATGTGGGGTTTTTGGGGTAGTCAGGAACGGATTAATTCATTTCCCATTATTTCTTACTACAGTGGTACCTCTGTTTACGAATTTAATCCATTGCCAGAGATGAGTTTTAACTTGAAAATTCGTAACTCGAAAAGAATATCCCATAAGAAATAATCCGAATTAAATTAATCTGTTCCACACTCCCAAAAATATTAACTTCAAAATACATTTCATACATAATACACACACACATATTTTGTGCTATACTTGTAGTATGTACAAGTTATAGCTTATCTTTATTGATGACTTGTTGGTGTATAGAAAACAGTGAGGACGGGGGAGGGGGGGGAAGAGGAGAGGTGTTACTGTTTGGAAGGGGAGTCTCCTTCCAGTATAACATCAGGAAGTGATAACTTCCCTGGGGTACTCTCTCTCCTACGTTTTGTCTGCATAACACTAGGATCTGGTTGTGACTAACTCCTTGTTTGTCTCACTAAGAACCTTTCCATAGAGACTTGTTTTTCCTCTATGGTCATCCACACATGTGTTTTCTTAGGTTGAACCTTACCACTGACTTTCTTGGGATCCATGGCATGAAATATAATAATTACTTTTATGTTTAAAAAAAATTAAATTCTTTACAAAGAATTCAAGCGCGATCGTCACTAAGCGGGCGGTCTGATAAACTGAAGTGGGGTTGCTTGTGCCACCAGGAACCACTCGCTCCGTCGACACATACGTGTATCAACAAAGTCGCAACGTCAAGGCAAAGGTTGTAAGTCGAGTCAAATTTTCCGATGCAATTGGGGTCGCGACTCAAAAAATTCGAAGGAAGGGGTATTCGTAAGTAGAGGTTCCACTGTAATCATGGCTACTACAGAGGCTGTCATGTAAATCAAGCAACTTTAAGGTTTTCCAACAAAAAGTGTGAATAAAAATGTTGTAACTTGTCATTATCACCATACCTTATTTTTTTGTCTATACAATCTGAGGATGAATGCTTCTTGGCAAGACTCCAAAATCTTGTGCGCTTTCCATACAATTATGCCTGAAGAGAAAAATTATACACGTTACATTATAGTCGTAGTTCTATCGGCAAGATAATGCAAGAAAATTAATGCATTAAAATCTTCAAAATCAAACACCGAACAACCCATTCCTAGTTCTAAAGCAGAGATGCATGCTCAGACACCTCATATTTAAGTTGTCCTCAAAATACTTGGTTAAGAATTTAACTGAAAAAATAAGGTTTCGAGTGGAGATAATAAGCTTTTTACTGAGCAGGCCACTTGGTTGCTCTCTTATCTAGTGACCTACTCTTCCCTAAGACAAGCTCAAGTACTACACCATTAAGGCAGGTCAACATTTTTTTCGCCGCACATTTTTCAAGGATGAGGTGGAGATGGAAATCAAGTCGCTCCAGTGCTGCCTCCAGAAGTTACTGAGGTAACACAATTTCCTAGTGCCTCACAAGCGATTTAGTCTGGGTTTGTGTCCTGGTCAGGGATGAGTGTTTGAGTGCCAATCCTTAACTGTTGCTCCTGTTCACCTAGCAGTAACTGGGTGCCTGGGGCCAGATTCACAAAGCAGTTACGTAAGTACTTATGAACGTGTACATCTTTCCTCAATCTTTGACGGCTTTGGTTACATTTATTAAACAGTTTACAAGCATGAAAACTTCCCAATCAACTGTTGTTATTATTGTTATAAACAGCCTCCTGGTGCTGAAGAGCTCATTAACTGTTTAATAATTGTAAACAAAGCCACCAAAGATTGAGAAAAGATGTAGTGTTTGAGTAACTGTTTTGTGAATTTGGCCCCTGGTTCTCAACTGATTGTTGGGTCATGTTCCAGAGAAAACTAGTGGGTAGGTTTTATCATGAGCTATGATAAAAGAAAAGGAAAGGAAAGTTAGAATCATCTGTTCCTGTAACCATCTGTGTAAAAGAACAACAACACAGTTGAATGCAATAAAATGAGTATTTCTGGTTGGGCCTCCCTGGAGTCATCAAAACAGTGAGGAAATGAAATAGCACCACACACACGTGTCATATCAGCCATAGGCGTCCTGACTAGCCTACTGGAGACCTGAGACAGAACCTGGCCCCTCTCACAGGGATGATGAGAGATGGGGATTCTTTATGATCATCCATACCAAGGAATCATTCAGAAAGCAAGCAAAGTAAAATAGACAACTGCAAGGTTTACAGAGAAGCAAAAAATGGAACAAATGACTTTGCAAGCAATTCACCCAGTAGTTAGTTTGAACCCCTCTAGTTACAACTGGCCACCAGCAGGTGGTAGCACCACCGGGAGCTATCAGCTTCAATGTCAACACACCTCAGTCTGGAGCTGAAGATCACACAACTGACACACACTCGGTACAGGGGAAGAGGACCCGGGAGCCACCAAGGCCCAACCAGAAAGAGGTGTTTCATTACATTGAATGCTTATTTTCTGAAGGAGCTGAATGGTAGCTCCATGAAGCTAATTAATCACAAAGACTAAGGAAACCAAGACTTACCAGGGAGGAAAACGAAAATTAAACTCTTGAAGAAGAGAGCTCAGGCGGGGCTTACAAAACTGCATGCCCAAGGGTAGACCGTAGGCTGGCTAATTCACAGCTGGAGAAAGACAGGCCTTGGAACAGGGAACCAAGAAGGTGAGGTGACAGTATAATGCATAGGATGCCAACCAAGACAAGGACAAACCCACCTAAACTGAAATTGACAACAAATAACAAAGAAAGAAGAAAGAGAGCAAAGAAACTTCAAAACGCTGCTGTAAAGAAAGATGTAGGTGGAATCAACAACTCAACCACCTGTGCACCATACAAATGATGACAGACTCACATACAAAAATTCCAAACATAAAGATTAGAGGAGGGCTACTTAATTCCTCAAGCAACATACTATGGCTTGAGAAATATTCACATTAGGATTTATCACAATTGGGCAATTATGTCAGAGGAAAATAATAAAAATAAGCAATCTAAAACATCTTTAGGAGTGCCTATACATTCCAAATTTCATAAAACGTAGCTCAGCTATTCAGAATGACCACCATTCTGGTAATAAACAAGATCAGAAGTTTGTAAGGTGAGCATTCTTAAAATCATAAATAATATTTATATCATACTAGTACACAAAAAAACCAGCGTTGAATGTAATGAAACGCCATTTTCTGGGTGAGTCCCGGAGGCTCCCCGGAGCTATCCCAGGATGATATGCTAATGTCAGACTTTGGCATCAGTCATGTGTATGGAGTTCTTAGGCCTACCGGGGACCACGGCCAGAACCGGGCCCCCTCAGAGAGGCAAGGGGAGCAATGGCCTATAGAAGCCCCCGTGTAGTTGGAAGCATTCTATGTCTGCCATCGACCGGAACAGGCACCCAGAAAGGTAAGCGCCCCAAAACAAACCCCTATTCTGGTTAAAATTGCTACCAAAAACCGAACTAGTGGATAGAACTCCCCAACCGAAAACAAGCAAACTAGTGTGACGTCATACACTGCCACGCCGCTGTCTGCGCAGCTCCCCCCTCCCCGGGAGGGGGAAGGGGGAGCCCCAGACCCCCCGCGCCGGCTACCCACACCTCAGTTCTTGAGGCTGGATGTCAAAAACGCGAAAAACCGCCGACCGGAGGGAGGGAGGGATGCCGGGGAGCCTCCGGGACTCACCCAGAAAATGGCGTTTCATTACATTCAATGCTGGTTTTCTGGGGGAAGCCCCGTTGGCTCCCCGGAGCTAACTACCCACAGACAGAAAAAGAGGGACTTACCCGGGAGGCGGTCGTCGTTCACCCCTCAACTCGAAGCCGAGACAACTGGCTGCAACCGCCGACCCAAAGCAACACAGGCCCGACGAGGCCCAGGGACATTCACAAGGTAACGAGCAGCCAGGACCCTGTTCGACCGCCAAAATCCCCGCGCCCGAATATCAGATCAAGACATATTCCCAAAGACGGCAGCAAGAGCCGCGAACTTACGAACGTCATGGGCACGGGGATAGACCGCAGGCTGGCTGGACCTAATAACCCTGCGGACGACCTGAGAGACCCGAACCCGCGAACAGGGAAGAAGGGAAACCGGATCAACCCACAGCACGTCCCCGGACACAGAAGCTGTGGCGCGCAAATAACGGCGAAGCGCCGCAACCGGACACAAAACATGATGCACCCCCCGGCCTAACCAACCAAGCATCAACCACCCATGGACCCCTCCGGAACGCAGCAGTCTCATTCTTCGCCAGAAAAGAAGGAGACGGCTGCAAACGAACAAAACAATCACCATGACCAAAAGAGCAGAAACCCCTGCGCCGGAGGAGAGCATGAAGCTCCCCTACCCGACCCCCAGAGGCCAAAGCCAACAAGAAAAGTGCCTTGGAAAAACAATCCTGGACCGAAGGGGCCACAACGAAACGAGGAGATGAAAGGAAAGCGAGCACTCTGTCCAAAGACCAGGACGGCTCAGGCAGGCCAGAGGTGAAACAATGCACGAGACAGCTTGCGAAACGGCGCAGACGTAACATCGATACCGAAAGCAAGCTGAAGCGGCTCCGCCAGCGCCGCACGATACGAAGCGACAGTGTTAGGCATAAGATGACGGTCCTGAAACAACCACGAGAGGAAGGACAAGACCACCCGAACAGACAAGGAGCTAACACGACGAAGACGCAAAAAGAAACGGAAGGACCGCCAGGAAACTTCATACTGCCGCCGAGAAGAAGCCCTCAGGTGGGACACCAACAAGGAGGCCACCTGTTCACCATAGAGATGATGATAGACTCGAGTCAAAAAAACCATACGCGAAGACTCGAGGAGAAGATCGAACCAGCCACGTGACGTACCGGCCCGATCTGCTGAAAGAGGCGGAGCCGCGGGAAAACCCTCGGGTTCGGACACCAAGCAACCAGCGCCTGAAACCAAGGCTGGGCCGGCCACCAAGGGGCCAGAAGGACAACTCTCCCCCGGTAAGTCTCTAAGCGAGTCAGGACTTGGAGCAACAGCCGAACCGGGGGAAAGAGGTACAGGAACTTCTAAAGCTGAACCCCAGGGACGTGTACACTCACGGGGGCCTAGCAGGGGGCGCCACCGAGGAGAACAGTGGAAGGGCAAAAACAAACTGAATAAAATGACAGAACCCCCTACCAGGCAAAAACAAAAAGAAAAACAAAACCCCGCAAGAGGACAGCGAACCCCAAGGAACAGAGCCGGCCGCGATGTCGGGAAATACAAGCTGAGCAGCACCCTGCGCCCCTACCAGTGCAAACTGCCTCTTACCTGCCGGTAACAAGGGAGAACAGAACACCCAAGAGCCCAACAGGCGGCCGAAAAACCGAAAGGTAAAACGGACCAGCAGAGGCAGACCCCGAGGAGCCTGTGGAAGGTGGCCCCAAGCCCCAAGGGCAGTACTTACAGGGCACCTAGGGAAGGCAGCCCTAGGCGCATGCAGCCCGAGTACTGAAGATAACTCCTGGCTCTCGCACCCACAAAACTAACACCACACGCAAAGCACAGTGCAGTAGCGACACCGGAGCCAGAGCACACGACCATCGCCTATAGCATCAGCCTCAAGAACTGAGGTGTGGGTAGCCGGCGCGGGGGGTCTGGGGCTTCCCCTTCCCCCTCCCGGGGAGGGGGGAGCTGCGCAGACAGCGGCGCGGCAGTGTGTGACGTCACACTAGTTTGTTTGTTTTCGGTTGGGGAGTTCTATCCACTAGTTCGGTTTTTGGTAGCAATTTTAACCAGAATAGGGGTTTGATTTGGGGCGCTTACCTTTCTGGGTGCCTGTTCCGGTCGATGGCAGACATAGAATGCTTCCAACTACACGGGGGCTTCTATAGGCCATTGCTCCCCTTGCCTCTCTGAGGGGGCCCGGTTCTGGCCGTGGTCCCCGGTAGGCCTAAGAACTCCATACACATGACTGATGCCAAAGTCTGACATTAGCATATCAGCCTGGGATAGCTCCGGGGAGCCGACGGGGCTCCCCCCCAGAAAATACAGAATAGTACTGTAGTTACTTGTACAACTCTGAAACAGGAAAAATTCTAGACAGAGTTTTTAGAGTACAAAGGATTTGTTCTAACCTGTAATAAGCTCAATAGGAGCACGTTCCATCAGCAGATCCATCACCATTATTCGTGACGTAACAAATAGCACTCCACCCTGATGGTAAATTTGTGATCTGCAAGCATCCATATCTCTATTAAAAAATCAGTGTTTAAGGAAGGCTGACAATTTATAAGACAAATGTAATTCCTGACAACGGTGAGAACAAAAGTTTAAGCATTTTACTTACATACATAAAATATAATGAGGGTGTAATAACTGTAATTGCTTACTGGCCCTAGTCAATTTAAGTACTGTACTGTACATCCAACAATGGACAAATGAAAGAATAATTATTTAAAAAGAGGTTTGGAAAATTCAATAACCATTGCATTTCAAGAATATTTATCATAAATCAAGCATACTTTTAATAATGCAGTATCATAATATATTATATTACAGAACAGCATGAAATAAAAATTAAACCAAGAAAAATCCCACTAAAAAAATAGCAGGACCAGAACTGAAGTATGTGATAAGAATTTGAAATAAAGAGTATTAATTAATACTGTATACCTCATTTTCATGCATTACTATATACAATACATTTATACATTTGAGATCCATATGCCACAAAACCCAAAACTCCAGAATGGAACTAACCTCTCACCCACAGAGCAGTCGGCAGTAACACAACGTGGGAGAGGAGTGACTCCTCTACCTTCCAACTGAGATAACAAATACTCCTCTTCACGTGAAGAGGTGCCTATTACAATAACCAAATTACCAGGGTCATTGTAAGCAGTGATCAAACTTTCCAAAATTCTCTCAAGACCCAGGCCTCTGTGAAAATTGAAGAGAATAATGTTTTTAATATACAGTATTAGCTAATAAATCTCTCTCCGTTGTTGTATGTAATATGATTAATGGGATTTCTTAGTGTATTTGAAGAGAAGCAGTAGGGGTAGAACTCCTATACAAAACATTTGAATACCACAGCCAGAGTGAATGTGAGCTATGTGTGAATCTCTGACAGGGCTGCAGTGGAAGCCTCTGGACTCCTAGAGGATTCAGTTGAATCCCAGGTTGCATTGCTTTTAGCACATTGTGGTTAAATGGTCTATCGTGTGTGCTTGGGTGTACCCAGTGTGCAGGTTTGAATCCTCCTCATGGTTCCTACTGATCTTCTCATCGATACATCATGTTAATGTGATTTCTTTGTGTATAATTAAATGCAGCTATAAATACAGCTCCAAGTTTGTGATAAGCCCCTTATGGAGCAAATTATTCTGCAGCTCCTTAAGGTGTGTTAGCTGGACAGGATCATGCACAGTTTGACAGGATGACAAACTCCAGTGTCCCAACAGGAAGATTTTCAAGCATTTCCCTAGAGTTACAGATGGTACAAAAACCTACTGAAGGCACTCTTGTTCAAACAAGACTGCACAACCTTTTATCATGCTAAATTTAGTACAGTATTTAGTACTGTACAGTAGTACAGTACTAAATACTGTACTACCACTAGGAGGCTACATGGGTCAAATAACAATACTGTACTGTAGTCACATAATTTTCAAGCCATTACACAAAGGCAAATTGCAGATATCACACAGGAAACATATTTTGGAATAATAAAATGATTTTGACAATCCCAATTAAAGTAAATATATTCACACATTATAAATAATTTTAGTAGTACTTAATAACAGACTCTAAAGCAGTTTTTACTGAACACTTTCTGATATATTAAAGATGCAAAAGATACTCCACTCGAACAAATCCACAAGGGCCGTGATGAGGGTTCAAACCTACGTCTGAGAGGATCCCAGACACGCCTTAATTGACTGTGCTGCGACTCAGTCAAAAGAATTGCAACCGGGAGTTCATCTGCCCTCACACAGATCCTGCAGTCTCTCTGAGAGACAAACCAGGGTTTTACACAATTCCTCCATGCACCCGGGCTCTGTCAATAAGCTGTTGACAACATTAATAAGCTGTTGACAGTGTTGGCATATCCTCTCGGATGTAGGTTCGAACCCTCATCACAGCCCTTGTGGATTTATTCATTGATGCATGATGCTATTGTGATTTCTGTGTGTAATACTCCACTCCCAAATCTTGTTAAGTAAACTTGTTCAAGAATCAAAAGGGGTCATTATATGCATAATTATTTTGTATTTTTATTTATTAAAATATATAAAAGAAGGTACAGTGGGTTGTGAGAGTGTATGTGTTGGTAATTGAGTGGTACATCCTTGCAAAGCCACTAACACACAGTGTTTAGGGCAGAGTACTTTGGGTGCTTTTGTGTAATAAGATGAACCATTTAATACTGACTTGTTTCACCTAGCAAGCCTGTGTAAATTCAAATTCTGACTGAGCAAAATATGTTGTGCTTCATTAAATTTACTGTAAAGCACATTATAATGATCTGCACAGTTTACGCCCCATGTAAGTTCAGAATTGGATTGTACATTCAGAAACATGCCAGTACAGTACAGTACTTACTTGGCTGCAACAAGGAGGCCATCTTCGTGCAAAAGATCCAGCAACATCTGGTTCTCATATTCCAACATTTTAAAAACAATTCTCACAACCTGCAATGTTGAATTGCCAATTATGTACCAGTACATGGTGTAGTTGTTACTTATACTGTACTAATGAATAACACTGGCCTGCACATTAACTAGGAAACAAGACATTTTATTTAATTACATATGTTTCTAATAAGCTTTCTTGAACATTATTCAAATATCCATATAACAGTAAGCAAAAATATATGTAATTCCTATTTTACATAACATGACAATAGCGGTCCATCTAATAGCTACCCAAAGCCACTCAAAGTCACTCAAAGCTTCCTGACATTACATTAGTAATGAATAAATATGATATATTTACTCATTATAATGTTGGTGCTGAATGTAGAACATGAAAAACATATTTTTATTCTGAAAAAGTATAACATTGTCGCTTGGACTGTTGACTTGCTTTGGTGTCACCAGCAGCTTATTTTCGTCTAATTTCGTTATGAAATGATACATTTTCAGAGTAAAAATATGTTTTTCCATGTTTTACATTCAGCACCAACATTATAATGAGTAAATATATCATATTTATTCATTACTAATGTAATGCCAGGAAGCTTTGAGTGGCTTTGGGTAGCTTTGGGTAATGAGACATCCTGACAATAGTAACAAGCTACTACATTGCACCTAACGAAGGGCTCACATTACAATATGTGCTTAATCCCACCCAAATTCTTTACCTCATGGCTAATTAAAAACAAAAGTTTGATGACACAACTGTAGACAGACATGTTTTCTAAAGTTGCAAACTACAGTATGATTATTAACCATATTTAGCTTAATGATTCAGTGGCAGAGATCTTTCTTCAAATCTTCAATATAGTATAAGTGATAAGCTGTATAGTCTAACACAAGGCATAAGTTCAATGAAATGTATAATAAGTCATGGTACAGCAGATGATGTGGACATCACTATCAGGTTAAGCACTACTGGGTCTAGCCAGTAACTGGAAGAATGACAGCACAGCCTTGGCTAAGGAGAGCCCATGATAAGCCTCACAAGCTTCTTGTTCATGATAATAATGGTAATGTATAAGGCAACAAGTATACAGAAATTCAGTGCATTATTCTAGTAAAAAATTATATCTTCAGGTTTAGTATACAGCTACTGATAGAACAAGGCAACACTCCTAGAAGTACAGTAAATACTTTGTTCACCACTTTTTCTATACAGTACAGTAAAAGAAAATCTTTCTTCCTAAGGGAGAGAAAAATTGAGGTAGCAAATTTGCTTCTTGTACTTTTCTACATTTAATCAAAACATACTCTAAGTTAAATGCATGAGCATTGAAAATAAAACCAAGAATTACAGTACAGTATTTGGTAAAGTACATGACTCTGTTGGGGTAAACCAATCAAGTTTATAAGCCTACCTCAGTATCTGCTCCATTATCTGCTATACTGGAATATTGCTCTCAGTAACAGGAAGCTTGTTATAGTGATCAAGGATCTATCCCTCAAAGGGCAAAACTATCTGCACAATCACCATTCAGTTACTGGCTAGTCCCAAAAGTGCTCACTCTGACTGATGTAGTATCCACAAATGTCCCTAGATGCTACCTTGATATGTCAAAGTGATGGCACATATGTACACACCTTATCTCCTATATTGAGGTTATCTTGAGATGGTTTCGAGGCTTAGCGTCCCCGCGGCCCAGTCCTCGACCAGGCCTCCATTTTGTTACACTCACCCAGGAAGCAGCCCGTAGCAGCTGTCTAACTCCCAGGTACCTATTTACTACTAGGTGAAGAGGGGCATCAGGGTGAAAGAAACTACCCATTTGTTTCCGCCTCCAACGAGGATCGAACCCGGAACCTTAAAACTACGAATCCGAAGCGCTGTCCACTCAGCTGTCAGAATATAATTTTGGACATTATATACATATACACCTGTAGTGAATTCTATTGTGAACACAATGATACCAAAACGAACGACGTAGCATGAGAATTAAGGTAAGAAAATTGAAAAGAGTATACACATTTCGGTGTCGCCGCACGCTCGACTGCACGCTCGCCCGCACCACAGAGAGCATGACGTCAAAGTCTGCTGCGCTCACACTCCGCATTCAAAAGTGTTAATTTTACTAGGTTAGATCTATTGACCAAACCACACACTAGAAAGTGAAGGGACGAGGACGCTTTGATCCGTCCTGGACCATTCTCAAGTCAACTGTGATCTGCTTAAAGTGATAGCTTAGCCTGCTAACCTTGTGTGATAGGTTAGATCTGTTTGAAGAGTAATGACATAGTATGACTAAATTTAGTTCCCTTTTTAGCCCTTCAAAGGCTAAAATTAGGCCAACTCTCAATTAGTTTACTACTAAACTCCAGCCAGAATTACAGAGACCCTTAGCATGGTGTGCTTTCCACTCAACCCAACCCAACCTAAACAAAGCTGAGTATGTATAACCTGTCCAGATATATATGGTTTTTAGTTATAAAACAACCTTTGTAATGATGCCCGTGTATGATTTGACTATACCTCATAACAACTTCTGGGATCACCACAACATCCTCCTCTTTTTATGATACGTGTTGCCTGCAAGAAGCTTTTCCTCGATTAACAACGGCGATTAAATACCCTCTGGAGGTTATTGTTGTTGAGTTAGGGGCGACGACGATCGTGTGATCGGATGCGCCCGGAGGTTGTTGTGAGGTTGTTGTGGTGATGGCGTCAGACGGTCGCTTCTGGTACTGTGGCGGGGGGACGTTTTCTATGGTCAGTAGTATTTTTTTTTAATTGCTAATTTTTTTAGTGTCAGTTTGATAAACTGAAAATTGCACAACAGGTAGGAGCAGCAGTTAAAAACGCTAAATAAGCCCTTGGAATAATCAAGCGTACCTTTGACTTTAATAATCACACCACACCAGAAATAAATATATCTTTGATATCCCCACAGTCAAACTTATTATTTATATAAACGAAAGTCTCTGTAAACACTCTTTGCAAATAAAGGTATGACTTTGACTTTAATAACCACACCACACCAGAAATAAATATATCTTTGATATTCCCAGAGTCAAACTTAATATCTCTAAATACTCTATGTAAATTAAGGTATGGAACTCACTCCCTAACGAATTGAAAAGCTGTCAAACTTTTACCTTATTCAAAAATAAAACCAAAAAGTACCTAATTTCATCTTCATAGTCTCCTACCTAGTGCTTGAAACAAGCACTGTACCTAGTGCTTCTCAATCCCTCAACATATGTACCAAAGCCATACAAATTTACCATTGTAATCCTTGCTTTAATACTCAATTAATAATTGAGTCGCAACATGGTTTTATAAATGGCCGTTCATGTTTAACAAATTTGTTATCTTTTTATTCTAGCATTGTTGAGGCAGTTGATAGTGGTAAGGATTGCGATGTTGTATACCTTGACTTTAGCAAAGCTTTTGATACAGTGCCACATGAAAGACTGATTAAAAAAATAGAGTCTCATGGTATTGGGGGTGCTATATTAAGCTGGATTAGGGCATGGCTATACCAAAGGAAACAGAGAGTTAGTATAAATGGAATCAAGTCAGAGTGGGAAAATGTTGTAAGTGGAGTGCCTCAAGGCTCTGTCCTGGGACCTCTGTTGTTTATAATATATATAAATGATTTAGATTCAGGTTTGAGTAGCAACATTTGCAAATTTGCCGATGATACGAAAATCGGTAGGGAAATTAATTCGGAGGAGGACTCACTATCACTTCAAGTTGATCTAGATAGGGTTTTGAAATGGTCAAAGGATTGGCAGATGCAGTTTAATGCTGATAAATGTAAAGTTCTGAGGTTAGGTAATGATGATAGAGTTACAAGATACGAGCTAGATGGTGTTGTGATTGCGAAGTCGGATTGCGAAAGGGATCTGGGAGTTATGATTAGTAAGAATTTAAAACAAAAGGATCAATGCATAAATGTTCGTAATAAGGCAAATCGGACACTTGGATTAATTAATCGCAGCGTTAGTAACAAGACACCTGGTGTGGTTCTCAAGCTATATCTTGCTCTAGTTAGGCCCCATTTAGATTATGCAGTTCAGTTTTGGTCGCCATATTATAGAATGGATATAAATTCACTTGAACGTGTCCAGCGTAGGATGACTAAGTTAATTCCCCAAATTAGAAATCTTTCATATGAAGAAAGATTAACAAAGCTTAAGTTGCATTCACTGGAAAGGCGAAGAGTTAGGGGTGACATGATAGAGGTTTACAAGTGGATGAATGGACATAACCGGGGGGATATTAATAGGGTATTAAAAGTATCAACACAGGACAGAACACGAAACAATGGATATAAATTGGATAAGTTTAGATTTAGGAAAGACTTGGGTAAATACTGGTTCAGTAACAGGGTTGTTGATTTGTGGAACCAATTGCCGCTTAACATTGTGGAGGTGGGGTCCCTCGATTGTTTCAAGCACGGGTTGGACAAGTATATGAGTGGGATTGGGTGGTTATAGAATAGGAGCTGCCTCGTATGGGCCAATAGGCCTTCTGCAGTTACCTTTGTTCTTATGTTCTTATGTTCTTGCTGTTATCTTATATCACGGTTGTTATACTGAACACATAGTTTACTGCATTATACCTTGCAGTAATCCTCAAATCATGCTACACTGTACCTGTGGATTGCCCTTAAATTTGCTTTAATGTACCTACTAATCCTGTCAAATTTCTTATACAATGTATTTTTTTATACTTTCTTTTTATACTTTTTTACAATGTATTTTTATACTTTCTTACAATGTACCTGTAAACATTTCTTTAATTTTGCTAGAAATTACCTTCCTAAAATTATCTGTTAGATTAAGGATCCGTGCTAGTGGCTTTACAAGACTATAAAACTTCAATGCTCTGTACTCTCATAAACCCAATGTACCTTCTTATATATAAATTAATAAATAAAATAAATTTAAGGAAAAGATAGTATTTCAGGAAATTAGGGATGACAGAAGAGCAGTCACTGACAGTCAAAGGGCAGAAAGCACGAGTATAAAGAGCAATGATATATTTAGAACAGACACGGGAGACATCTCCAGTCACGCAGGGTGCACCCGCACCTCCACAGATCTCTAGTATCATCTATTGATACTGGTAATGGCACAAAAGGGCCACCACTTACGGGCTATTCATGCCCGTGCCACATTTGGGGTGGCTTAATCTTCAATCAATCAATCAATCATTAGAACAGAGACTTATATGTACGGGAAGCACAAGTAACGAAGGAGGAGACCAGCAGTAAAGGGACCTCGTCTTGGAGAGTTGCGAAAGACAGGGGCCTTAAGAAGACTTTGATAAAGCCGCCTTCAAACGCCATAGCAACTTCAAATTCATTTGACGTTTTGGAGGACGAGTGCTGTGGAGAGACTGTGGATCGCGCAAAAGGGAAAGCAACGAAGAGAAAGGAAGCGCAGGCCCCTCAGAAAGTAAAGGAAGTACCTAAGCAAACATTAGTTGTGGGAGATTCCCAGATAAGGTATTTGGATAGAACGTTTTGTGCTAGAGATAGGGGGAACAGGTTAAGGGTTTGCTATCCCGGAGCTGGCATTGGTGATATTATAAACAACATGAATGATATTATGGCTGGTAATGGGAACAATCCCATTATTTGCATTAGCGTGGGAGGAAATGATGTTGGTCGAGTCAGGAGTGAGGAACTGATTCAGAGGTATAAAACAGCCATAGAGTTAGTTAGGAGCAAGGGAGGAATCCCGATCATATGTGGCATTCTTCCAAGAAAGGGAGTGGGAAATGAATGGATATCGAGGGCACTTGGTGTCAATTGCCGGCTGGAAAGATATTGCAAATCAAATGCAATATCTTTCATAGACAACTGGGAACACTTCTATGGAAGAAATGAAATGTATGCTCGTGATGGGGTGCATCTATCGAGAGCTGGGGTTGTTGCTGTTGCGAACTCGTTAGAAGAAGTGGTTAGAGGTGTTTGTTTGGGTTTAAACTGTTAGTAGATAGAGGTATGGGAATTGATTTGGAGGAAGGAGGTAATAAAAGTATGTGTTTGTGGGAGAAAGGAATTGGCAAAACGATCAGGGAAAGAGAAGGTCCGCAAAATAACAATTCACTTAGGGTATATTACACTAACAGTAGAAGTCTAAGAAATAAAATTAACGAATTAAATGCTCTTGTCTGCACAGAAAAAATAGATATTATTGCACTTACCGAAACGTGGATGAATGTAGAAAATAGAGAACTATTAGCTGAATATCAAATATATGGATTTAAACTATTTCACACAGATAGATATATTAGACGAGGAGGTGGAGTAGCCATATATGTTAGGGACAATTTGAAATGTAGTCTCAAAGAGGGAATCAAAACAGAGCCACACACAGAAACTATTTGGATTGAATTAAACGAAAAAGCTAATAATATTATAATAGGAGTAATATATAGGCCACCAAATTTAGACAGAATGGAAGCAAAGCATCTATGGGATGAAATATCTAGAGCATCTAGATCTAACAGTATTTATGTCATGGGTGACTTTAATTTTAGCGGAATAAACTGGTTGAACAAAACAGGGAATAGTGAAGCAGAAGATTTTCTAGAATTAATTGACGATTGCTTTCTTACGCAACACATTAAGGAACCAACACGGGAAAATAATATTTTAGATTTAGTGTTAACTAACAGGGAAACGCAAATTAATGACATCGAAATAGGGAGTGAGCTAGGGAGCAGTGATCACAAAGAAATCAGATTTAGCATAGAATGGAATAGACCAGTAGGAGAAAATTCTGTTAAAGTGCCAGATTTTCGAAAAGCTGATTTTAATAGCCTAAGAAATTTTTTGGGTCAAATTGATTGGAAAGGCTTGGGTATGGGGTGTGGGCCGGTCTTGGAGCGAGACATGAACCCAGCGATAGGTGACTTAAATGGGGATTTCGATGTGGATTCAATATATAACTTATTTAAGAATATTCTAAACAAAGCACAGGAACGTAGTATACCATCCAAATTGAATAGATCGTATACTAATGACCCAAAGTGGATAACAAAGAATTTGAAGAACCTTATAGGTAAAAAGAGAGCTTGGTACAAAAGGATTAAAAATGGGGAGGTCACTTTAGAACAGGAATTCGTACAACTGGTTAGAAATGTTAAAAAAGAGATAAGGAAAGCAAAAAGAAACTATGAAGTTCGCATAGCAGGGCAAGCAAAGACAAATCCTAAAGGGTTTTTTCAGTTATATCGTACTAAGACTAGGGAAAGGATAGGTCCATTAAAAACTGAGACAGGTCAAATAACAGATAGTGATGAAGAGATGAGTAGTATTTTTAATAAATATTTTGTATCTGTATTTACTAAAGAGGAACTTAACAATATGCCTTCAGCCGAACAAGTCTATGTGGGTGGGGACGAGGACAGGTTGACGAGTTTAGCAGTTACCAGGGAGGATGTTCTTAAACAAATAGTAAAACTCAAACCAAACAAATCCCCAGGGCCGGATGAAGTGTTTGCTAGGGTGCTTAAAGAATGCAAAGAGGAGCTTTGTGACCCACTGTCAACCATATTTAATAAATCAATAGAGTCAGGCAGAGTGCCAGAGTTTTGGAAAGTTGCTAATGTGATACCAGTTTTTAAGAAAGGAGATAGATCACTTGCGTCTAACTATCGACCAATTAGCCTAACGTCTATTGTGGGAAAGTTACTCGAATCTATAATAGCAAATAAAATTCGTCTTCATCTTGAAAAACATAAATTAATAATTGAGTCGCAACATGGTTTTATAAATGGCCGTTCATGTTTAACAAATTTGTTATCTTTTTATTCTAGCATTGTTGAGGCAGTTGATAGTGGTAAGGATTGCGATGTTGTATACCTTGACTTTAGCAAAGCTTTTGATACAGTGCCACATGAAAGACTGATTAAAAAAATAGAGTCTCATGGTATTGGGGGTGCTATATTAAGCTGGATTAGGGCATGGCTATACCAAAGGAAACAGAGAGTTAGTATAAATGGAATCAAGTCAGAGTGGGAAAATGTTGTAAGTGGAGTGCCTCAAGGCTCTGTCCTGGGACCTCTGTTGTTTATAATATATATAAATGATTTAGATTCAGGTTTGAGTAGCAACATTTGCAAATTTGCCGATGATACGAAAATCTGTAGGGAAATTAATTCGGAGGAGGACTCACTATCACTTCAAGTTGATCTAGATAGGGTTTTGAAATGGTCAAAGGATTGGCAGATGCAGTTTAATGCTGATAAATGTAAAGTTCTGAGGTTAGGTAATGATGATAGAGTTACAAGATACGAGCTAGATGGTGTTGTGATTGCGAAGTCGGATTGCGAAAGGGATCTGGGAGTTATGATTAGTAAGAATTTAAAACAAAAGGATCAATGCATAAATGTTCGTAATAAGGCAAATCGGACACTTGGATTTATTAATCGCAGCGTTAGTAACAAGACACCTGGTGTGGTTCTCAAGCTATATCTTGCTCTAGTTAGGCCCCATTTAGATTATGCAGTTCAGTTTTGGTCGCCATATTATAGAATGGATATAAATTCACTTGAACGTGTCCAGCGTAGGATGACTAAGTTAATTCCCCAAATTAGAAATCTTTCATATGAAGAAAGATTAACAAAGCTTAAGTTGCATTCACTGGAAAGGCGAAGAGTTAGGGGTGACATGATAGAGGTTTACAAGTGGATGAATGGACATAACCGGGGGGATATTAATAGGGTATTAAAAGTATCAACACAGGACAGAACACGAAACAATGGATATAAATTGGATAAGTTTAGATTTAGGAAAGACTTGGGTAAATACTGGTTCAGTAACAGGGTTGTTGATTTGTGGAACCAATTGCCGCGTAACATTGTGGAGGTGGGGTCCCTCGATTGTTTCAAGCACGGGTTGGACAAGTATATGAGTGGGATTGGGTGGTTATAGAATAGGAGCTGCCTCGTATGGGCCAATAGGCCTTCTGCAGTTACCTTTGTTCTTATGTTCTTATGTTCTTAAGCATATAGTGCGGTCTGCTGCATGATGCAAGGAGGACGTGTTGCTCCGCATCTTCGTGTTTGCACGTGGCTGCTGCAGCTAGATGTTGTGAATTTGTTCTCGACTGTTGCAGTGATACAGTGCCTTTGTGTATTGAGGAAATGGCTGAGGCGGTCTGCCTAGGTGATGGAAGATCCTGCACTGGGCCTGGAGAGTGTGACAGTGGGGATGGCAGACAGGATGAAACTAGGCTGTATCATGATTGATGAAGATTAAGCCACCCAAAAGGTGGCACGGGCATGAATGTATTGTTCTTGCCCGAAACGCTATGGGCGCTAGTGATGATGATTTTACAAGAATGTAAAATCGTCATCATTACTACAATGGGAGACATCTCCCGTCACGCAGGGTGCAGTTGCACCTCCACCGATCTCCAGTATCAGCTCTTGATACCGGTAATGGCTCAAAAGGGCCACCACTTACGGGCTATTCATGCCCGTGCCACCTTTTGGATGGCTTAATCTTCATCTTGGACACATTAATGGGAGACATCTCCCGTCACGCAGGGTGCAGTTGCACCTCCACAGATCTCCAGTATCATCTATTGATACTGGTGATGGCTCAAAAGGGCCACCACTTACGGGCTATTCATGCCCGTGCCACTTTTTGGGTGGCTTCATCTTCATCTTTACACATTCACACTGGAGACATCTCCCGTCACGCAGGGTGCAGTCGCACCTCCACAGATCTCCATGGCTCAAAAGGGCCACCACTTACGGGCCATTCATGCCCGTGCCACCTTTTGGGTGGCTTCATCTTCATCTTAACACATTAACAAGGGAGACATCTCCCGTCACGCAGGGTGCATTCGCATCTCCACAGATCTCCAGTATCAGCTCTTGATACTGGTAATGGCTCAAAAGGGCCACCACTTACGGGCTATTCATGCCCGTGCCACCTTTTGGGTGGCTTAATCTTCATCAATCAATCAATCATTACTATGTACTTTCTTATTAGGCTTATACCGAGGTCCCTCAAAGATGGAACTAGTTATGGAGTGAGAGCAAGTGCTGGCTTTTCCACTACTGATCATGCAAACATTAAATCTTTGCTGTATTTTTAATTGTATATATATAATAGCTGAATTTCCAGGGACACATTCTAAATATATCAAAAAAAGTTTCAAAAACTGTGGGCATTCTTTCTAAGATCAGATATTATGTACCACGCCCTGCCCTGGCGACTCTCTATTACTCCCTTATCTATCCATATCTCAACTATGGTATTTGTGCTTGGGGCTCTACTACCCAAAATCACTTACGTCCTCTAATTACTCAACACAAAGCTGCTATTAGGACAATATCCAACTCTGGCCCCAGACATCACTCGGTACCCCTACTCAAATCTCTGAATATGTTAGACATTAAGTCACTGCACATTCTCTCATGTGTATTATACATATATAAAACGCTAAACTATAATGCCAATCCTGATCTCAAAAGCTTCATAGAAGGTTGTAACAGAACCCATGAGCACTACACCAGAAATAAATACAGTTTTGATATTCCTAGAGTACGACTTAATCAAACTAGAAATGTTCTACAAATCAAGGGGCCCAGAATGTGGAATGACCTTCCCAACCATGTTAAAGACTGTACCTCTCTCAACCAGTTTAAGTTAAAAGCGAAGCTATACCTAATAAATTCCCTGTAACCTACCTTACCCTTCTATTGTCAACCAATGTCTGTTTTTTAAAGAGCGCTGTTTGTCGACATAATTGTATTTGTGCTTCTTTTTCAGCTATGTTTTCATTTCTTGTTTTCATTCTACTCTTTATGCTCAATTAGTATTAAGCTTGTCATTTAAGTTTTTCATGCCCGAAACGCTTTGCGTAATAGTGGCTTTAGGCATTGTATGTACTAGCTCTACCTATAAGTCAACCAATCTTTGTAAAAATTTCTTGTATGTATGTACCTTACCTAAATAAACATTTTATTTATTTTATTTATTTTATAATTGTATATATATGTAAGGTTAAGGTGATTGATCGGGAACTTTCGACTGCCATTTTTTATTTTTTTTATTGGAATATGTTTTCTATTTTATATTACAAATTATGGTGTATTTCACCTTATTTTCAAAATTGAACAAAAATTCTAATATATTTCCTTTTAAACTGTCCGCCACTCGGTCAATCGCCATTTTTGTTTTTTTATCAATTGTATTGGAAACGGCTTATGTTGATTATAAATATATTTGATTACTTACATAATTTTACAATTAAATGAACACGCTTTAAAAATAGATATATTGTATGTTTTAATTATAAGATACACAGTTATTTACTAAAGCGTTTTTGGTAATGTGTATAAATATTTCGCCCCTGAAAACCGTTTCGTGACTCGTAAGTAAAGCGCATGTCAGTGAATAATTTCGCAGTGAAGGTAGAGGTGGGGCTGGGCTGGTACACTGTAGTTGACACTGCTGGCCCTCTATCGTCCCCTAGCCAGCACTTGCAGGCGTCTCTCGACACACATAGGTAACTTGCATACATATTACATGCTCTGCAGGCCTTTAATTAGACCACAGCTGTAGATACGAAAAGGTTACTGATTGACCCGAGTCTGGGAAGACCACTTCCAGTCTGGTATTTATTTGTCCGCCCTCGACCATAATTCACACGGTTATATATCTTTTGGGACATGTTTGGGACAGCACATTTCTGCCACATTGATCATTTTAAGGTTACAGTGTATGGTTGCCGCTGACGTATGTTAAGCGAGGCCACACCATTGATCTTGTTCACTGGTGGTGAAATTTGAGGCTGATCTTGTATAGGGTTATGCTACTAATGTTTTTGGATGTCAAGTTCATGCATTTATAGTCCATTCATTTCTTTTTTTCTAACACAAATCACTAGGTTTGCCTAGTATGTCGTGCAGTAGTATTACTGTAATATCTCTAAGTACAGTATATAATAAATAATTATATTAGTACCATAACATTTGTGACGTTATGGTGGATGTATCACTTTTTGTAGCTACATGCATCTTGCCCAAGTGTAATTACACTTGGCCAAGACACAAGTAGCTACAAAAAGGGACATAAGGTAACATCGTCACAACAGTGTGTGTGTGTGTACCCTGTTGTGATTATATGGCAAAACCTTTTGGTAGACTTAATTTTATCTGTACTGTACTTATATATGCAAGAGTTCTTACATTCTCGTAAAGCTACTGGCAGCCATAGCATTTCAGACAGTTCCTTAATCTTAATTTTCTCTGGAAACGATCCACCAACGTGTTTAACAGCCAGGTACCCATTCACTGCTTGGTGAAGAGAGGCATGTAGCTAAGGATTGTCAGCTAATCAAACCTTCCCGTGTCGTGAACCCTGGCCAAATTGCTTGCGAAGTGCCAGGCGATCTGTTATATTTGTCATTTGAGTTAGAAGTTAGTTTTGTACTGTTGTTGTATGACAAACATTACCACTAAACATACTGGTTCTGTATACCCATATTTTGATTAAATTGACTAATATGTATTAATCATCTCTTCTCTGAACTAAAAATATAATACTTGTTCCTATTTTGCCTGTAAGTATATTTAAAATGCATTATTTGTATATTGTATTTCTATAAATGTGCAAAGATGTGTTCTATCATTTGGGGTAAGAAAAATTCCAGTACAGTACGTAAATACAGTAACGGTAAATGGCAACAATATCAGTCGACTGGAATTCTTGTTAAAATAGCACAGAACTAGTTCTAATTACTCCTTTCAAATGAGTATAACTTATTTAGGTAATGCACGCAAATTGTGTAAGCTACAGTGTTCCCTAGAGTTCCTTAACCCTCCTGTCACTAACACTTAAATATCCAAAGAATGTAACAAGATATATATACAAGAATGTAACAACTCTTGTATATATCTCAAAAAAAAACAAAAAGAAAAAAAAAAAAAAAAAAAATTATTTTGAATACTCTCATTGTAAGTTTTCCCTGCACTTCCTACATTTCCTAGTGAAATTAAATTAGACATAATATTCAATTACATTATTGCATGTATGTGATGGAGAGGGGAGGGAGACACGTGTGCAAACAGGTTTTCCATCTGGTACAGTATATATTGTTCTGCCCTGAGTGGGTTGGGGATTTTGGGACTTAAACCTCCAAAAGAGAGCTCTGGTTATTGCACCAGACTGTTATTTGCATACAGGCAGACAACGTCCCAACCAATTCCTGACGGAACAAACAACTGACCTCAGCAGCCACACTCCTGCTACCGCCGGTTGACCGGCAATGAACACTGGAATGCTTGTAATTTTATGTAGATCACCCTGTATGCCTCTTGATCTTGGAGAGGGGTTCAGCATCACATATTTAGGGGTGCGGCTCCAACACTAGCCTCGTTGTCTTGTGCACACACCCTATTCGAGCCGCTATGACTCCCCACTCTCTCCTTGTTTGGAATGATCTCCTAAATCTCCCTTTCGTGAATTAGTATCTTCTGCCACTCTGTCCGCAGCCATGACCCTATCTCTCTTTCCCACTTTCTGGGGAACCTCACCAGGACAAGAGTAAAAGCCAGCTAATATATATATTTAATATACAAAGAAAACATACATAATACATGACATAAAATAGAACATTATCATACAACACTGTTATAAATAGTGGTGGGTTGTTCTATGGGAGATCTAGTATTAAATGGATGTAGGGGCAGTAGTTAGAATAAAGATGTATCTCTAGCAGTGGAGATCAGTAAGGCCCGGCCCCCAAATAAAAATATCAACAGTGAATATAAATTGGCTACAAGACAGTGTCAGTCTAGAGGTAGATCATAGATCTCCTACACAGGAAGAATGGATACTCCTTTAAAACTAACTAACTTATTTATTAACCCCTTAACAACCCCCCATATACATTCACACCCATAACAATAATAATAATTACTTTACCACACTATCTTACGTTAAAAGCCTTGGTCCACATTAGCAGGATACAAGGTTTTACTCTGAGAACAAGCTAGGGTAAAGTACTACTAGTGAAGAACCTGAAGCTTGAGGTAGCTTAGGGTAGTGAGACTACGTGGTACCCTAACACAACACAACACAACACTAAGGGGTACCCAAAACACTGGCAAATACTACCCCAGATCTACACCAAACTTACAATCCCAGAGTAGGCACAAATATACACACAATTACTTAACTTAGTGGTTACAGGAATTCAAGGTAAGGAAAGGAAGGAGGAGGAGAAAAGGTAGAGGGATGCAGAGCAGCTCAGAGGAGATCTCAACACCACGAACGCCAGCCAGAGAGAGCGAGCAGCCACCACCAGCCTCAGCTCTCCAGCCGTTGCCGGGGGGAAAACAGCTGATCGTGCCGCTTGTAAACATTACCACTCTTCCTCAACGTAAAACTGGTTAAATTAATAGTTCCAAGAATAGTTAATAATTTCTACATGGTTATACTTACTCCACAACAAGCTCACAAGTCTGAATGCTCTGTGAGAAACAAGATTCGTCTTACGTCTGGCAAGAAAGATAGGAATGAACCTCGACAAGCGCACCAAATACTATGAGTAATTTATTTAGCTCAATTTGACCTCTGGTTTCCACTGAGGAACCCAGGGTCGTAACAAACACTCTGAACTGCTACAACCCGGTAGCATTCCAATATCATATCATGGCTTCACCATCTGTCCATATCAAGTGGCTGCTCAACTCTTGGCTTTACCACTTACTACTCCCTCATTAAATGGGGCTGAAATCCTGTTACAACAATACTGTATCCTCAGCCCTAAAAGTCTATAAAATTCAGCTCGAGGCTGAAACACCAGAAACATCTACATAAGTATCCCACAACAAAAGAAAAAATCAATCTCTCACCTTACATTGCATCTTACATGCCAAAAAGTATCCTAGCACTTCCCTTATTCAATTATGTGTGTCCAACATGAACGTCTGTTCTGCTCCTAGTGACTCACCACCAATACATATCTCTCGGTCCTCCAAAATACAGTATCAGGAAAATCACTCCTGCAGTTCTCCTAATCTGCTGCACAAAGAAGTCTTAATTTCACATCAGTGACGCTTCACCACTGATTCCACAGACACACGTGTAGCTGCTCTACACTGCTTGAAATCAACTCCTCACTATGGATTTCTGCTCTACCACAGAGTTCAGCATACACTTCTTCTCCAGCCTCGAAGTTCCTCCATCAACTTCTTCTCTAACCTCAAAGTTTCTCCACGAACTCCTCAAACAAACCTGCAATTCCATTACCATGCCAATAAAAATGTTTTCCTAACAAAACATGATTAAATGTATTCACAGAAAATAAACTCCATCCGACATCTTATGCCGGCACTACGGCTCTGCCAATGTGGATCCTCCCCCATCCTGGGCGGGTCCACCTGGGAACATGTCTCAACGCGTAGCAGTTCCCGTTGTGACGCTGGCGGCTTCCCCTCTCAGTCATCTACTGACCTTCGGCGAGGGTGGACGTACCACCGCTCCCTCTAGCATGTCCTCCCAACTTTAATCCTTATTTTAGTTCACTGTCTTAAATTAATAAAATATCTATTCTACTTACACATATTTTCACTATGATCGCTGGGCACACGATCAAACACTAGTGGCGTAATTAATAACTGATTAAACAGGCTTACTGCCGAAATCCCTGATGTGAGGATGGTCACTCACTGGAGCTCAAACATGGCTCTCCCATAGGCTGCCCACAAAAATGCTTCAGGACTGCCTCACAAGGCTTTCTCCAGTCCACGACTTGAGTTCAAAACATCACCTGGTATGCTCCACAACAGAAACGCCTGCTTGCTTCCTTCCTCTTGAAGGCACAACAATTGAGTTTCACCAAGGCGCAACCAACACTCGCTTGCAGGTCGCCTCTAATTTACCAAAATCACAGAGAAATGGTGTACTATGTTCCCAACAGCCTCCTCACACTTGCGGACAAGTAGTCTTCACTCCAGCACTAACAAAAGGAACTATATTCTTCCTTATTCCGGGAGAATCAACGAAGTACAACGTCCTACCAGCGAGCATCAGAAATATTGCAGGAACAACCGTGGACATCTTCAAGAGGAAACTAGATTGTTTCCTTCAAGGAGTGCCGGACCAATCGGGCTGTGGTGGGTATGTGGGCCTGCGGGCCCCTCCAAGCAACAGCCTGGTGGACCAAACTCTCACAAGTCAAGTCTGGCCTCGGGCCGGGCTTGGGGAAAAGAACTCCCAGAACCCCATCAACCAGGTATCAACCGGGTATCACCTCTGACGACAGTTGCGACTCAAGTGAGGTCACCACGACCTGCTGGCGTCGCTTCACGTCCCCAAAGTATCGACATCTCATTTTGTCACTTATTACCAACGCCCATCCTCTGCTAGTATCCTGAGATTACTCACTGATGTTTACTCAATTATTTAATATTTACATCTTTCCTCTGACCTCTCAATCTCGGGTTCGGAAGGCAGAATAACTCAGAAAGGTAGACTCGTTCCACCCAGGTCAGAGGGGGC